ACACGGCGTTAGGACATGAGACACACACGGCGTTAGGACATGAGACACACACGGCGTTAGGACATGAGACACACACGGCGTTAGGACATGAGACACACACGGCGTTAGGGCATGAGACACACACGGCGTTAAGATATGACACACAGTGTTAGGATATAAAACACACAGACAGACACGGCGTTAGGATATAAGACACACAGCATTAGGATATAAGACACACAGACACACGGTGTTAGGATAAAAGACACAGAGACACACACGGCGTTAGGATAAAAGACACACAGACACACACGGCGTTAGGATATAAGACACACAGACAAGGCATTAGGATATAACAATAACAGACAGTGTCAGCATGTAACATATACATTTCAGACACTGCAGATAGTTTCTCGTTTTGCCAAACACACAGTTACATACATTACAGATACACTCCTGCTTTTACACACAGACACACATATACACCCTGAGATACATACACACAGACATACACGGACACACAGATGCACACAAAATACACACACTCACAGGCACATACAGCATCACACACATATACTCACACAAATAACACACATATACAAACACATGGGCAGACCCACAAACACACAAACACATACACACATACACACATGCATGCACACACAGTTACAGACACACAGGAACGTGTGCCATGTCACTGACCTGCCCCCAGGGAGCCCCCATCCTGGTTCTGTTGTCCTGTACACGTCCACACGGTGCTTGCCTACACGACTCTCTCCCTCCACTGCTGCACCGCTGTCTGGCCAAGTGGGAGGAGCACCGCCTACCCAAAACACTGGTAGGCTGAGCCCCACTGGGGGCGGGGCCTAACAAACCATCAGTCACTCCACCTGGGGCAGCTGGGAGCAAAGGCCCACCCCCATTTATATGTGCAATCAGCTCCCATGTCTGGAGCACCACCACCAAAAAGTGCCACCAGAGTTTGGCAACACGGAGAGGATGTTGAGCAGAGGAGGTTTGCAAAACACCCCTCAATGTGCTGTAAGCTCTGCTACTGAGTACAGAGCCCCTCTAACCTGATTCCTATCTCTCTCACTTGCTCCAAATTCGACTGCTTAAACACCCCAACACACATTGTGTTGCCATGCAACATGGATAAAAGGGAACTGGAAGAACAATGGGAAAACAGTATAGCACTAGACAACTAAAATTTAGCACAAAAAAAAAATGAAATGCAATCATTTAGAATAAAAATACAAATAAATGATGACACATTAAGGTTAAGGTGCAGTTTTCTCTGTAATGGGGAAAACCCCCCCCACCACCACCACCACCATTTATATCATAAGAACAGTCCAGGATTTCAGCTGAAAAGCCTTTGCTGAACTTCTGTGGCTTTCTTGGCAGATTCCTGAATGCATCCAAGAAAGAAAAAAAAACACTGTGAAACGAACCAACTCTGCCCCCTGGTGACCAAATGAGCGAATGGCACTCACCCTGGAAAGCAGACGAGCCCTAATTCAACCAGACTAGGCAGCTTAGGACGCACATGCGATGTCATAGGCAAATTAAGCGAGGTGTGTAGAGCAGCTGCATAGTGAACACGGTTCAATGGCATTCAGTATCGCAGAATGTGTATGTTCAAAGTGACAGTGGTCAGCAGACACATTTCAGACATGGCGACTAAATACAAGCAAGCGATGTAACAGGAAGTGAAGTTTCCACACCAAGGCTGTTCAATGAGGAGAGTGACACACAGCAGGACCGAGTGGCCAGGCTGATGATGCTACACACAGCCCAGCCTGGGGGGACCTGCAGTTGGACCCCTGCCGAAACGATCCAAAGCGTGCAGCTGTATAGGCAGAAACTACCTAAGGCTCCTTTGAGATAGAATCACTATGTTGGCAGCTCGAGAAGTGTAAACATCACTCCCACCAAAGCAAACTGTTGGTATCCGAAAGGTCGATACGTGAGCTGGGCTGCAGGGAGGCAGCCAGCTGGACCACAGGGCATTACTACCACGCACCTGTCACCTGTCACATGATAACCATTACAGGCAGGGAAATTGGAGGGGGACAGGAAAAGAGGACTCACCACAGCCCTCCTCAGACCAGAATTCTATCCACTATGCCCCCTGCTGTTATATCCAGCACATTACAGTCCTCATTACACTCCAGACTGTAGTGCTCTGACCACTATGCCCCCTACTGTTATATCCAGCACATTACAGCCCACATTACACACCACACTGTAGTGCTTTGACCACTATGCCCCCTGCTGTAATACCTAGCACATTACAGCCCTCATTACACACCACACTGTAGTGCTTTGACCACTATGCCCCCTGCTGTAATACCCAGCACATTACAGCCCTCATTACACTCCATTACTTCCTTGCCTACTGCTACACTGTAATTATAACCGCAAACCCATGTAATCCAAGGCCATATAAGACAGTTACCGCACCCCGCCAGACCTTCTGCCCTGTTTATTCAGCAGTGCTGTGGCCTTGGCCAACCACGCTGTGGACACCCACCCACAAAGTCAATCCAGCGCGGTTCACACTGTTTACTCTCCGTTGGAATGATTCACCCCCCATCCTTAAGCCTTAAGACAGAGACGGCATAACGCAGCATAATCAGGGGCATGAGCTGTCAAGCAGCCCTCATTTAAAGCATATCACCCCCCCCCCCCAACATAGCAGCTCACTCTGTCCCCCTCACAGTTCCTCGGCCCCTGCCTGTAGGTGTCAGATCCTTAGAGCAGGTGCCTGTCCACCCACCGTGACATCATGTGCCGGACATGCTGAGAGGACAGGGACACACCCTGACTGGCTGACAGGGTCACACCCTGACTGGCTGACAAGCCCCGGAGGTTCCTGCTTTTCACTGGCTACCGGATAAAACTCACTTTACTCGCTCACTCACCATATGTGGCAGTTATCGGTTTTCTTTAAGAGACTCTTTTAAAAAGCAAGTAAACATTTGACAGGATGTGTCCATTGACTTCAGCTGCACTGTAAGGCAGGTAGATCCAGAGACCCTGCCTCATGGTACAGGGACCACTGGGACAGAGCCAGCCCGGATACATCTCCCAGTGTAGGAAGATCCTGATCACTTCCTGCCTTTTCCCCAGCACAGAAAATCGTCTGTGGGAAGCTAAGAGTGCTTCTGTTTATATATGGTAAATGGACCTCAGCTGACTTATAAAATGCATAAGCCATTGTTATTTAACCCCCTGAGACCCGAGGAAAAAAGTGTCCTCCAATTGTAGGTTATTTGTCTTTGGAGGAAATAAGACGTCTTACAATTTAGATTTTTTCAAATTTATTCTTATTTTAATTTCACAGCATGTCCTCTTTAGTGCACAACAAGAATAAATACGCTTCCCAACATCAGTGAAAAAATAAATGCAAAAATACAATGTCCACTACAATGGACATAAATGAATAGGTCGGGTCTCAGGAGGATATACAAAGGGGTTAATTTGGGCTGAGTATTGGGGGTAGAGTGGTGAAGTCTCCACCTATTTATTTATTTTTTTGCTAAATGGCCATTAAATGGCTGTTTCACTTGAACTTTATGGTAAGGAGACATACCAAAACAACAAGATATGCATATTCCAACTACGGGTTGCATTAGCCGGTTTTGATTACTGTGGCAGTATGAGCGCTTCGCTTTCCGGCAGTTTAACCCGGCGACGGACCGCTAGCTTTTTTTAGTCCCTACGTTTCATCTGCCCTGCCGCTCCCGGTTCGCAGTATGCCAAGAAGTAGAAAACATACCTTATGAAGCGGAAAGCAGGTGCTGCCGGAGCTCCAGCAGGTCGAAGGCTAAAGTAATTAGTGCATGGCGTGCGTGCGCGCTGTGCCTCGGGCTGGGCAGGGCATCCGTCCGCTCCTTCTGCAAACGGACCGCCCAGCACGCAGTTGCTGTGTGTCTTTATATTAATGCGCTACGGACGCACCGGGCACACGGAGAAGCTACGGGTATTTGGCAACCGTAGCAGGGCCTAGTCTGCTAGTTTCCTCCTTACTTTCTTGCATTTTGCTTTACTCACAGGAATACACGTGCTGGTCGCGCTGGAGAGAAAGAGCAGCCCCGTCTGCTTTCATCTCCCCGCACGCCGTCTGTCAAACAGACGAAAGTCACTCCAAACGTCATATACGCGCTTGCTGAACCTACAGCTCGATTTGTTTTCAGCGTGAATAAACCCTGTTTTCATAGGTATTATCGAAGGGTCAATAAGAAAAGTCTAGGGATTTTGTTGCGTATGCACGCCTGACTGCCCAGTTTAATCTGGACTAATTCACGGATTTCCAGAGATAAAATTGCCAAGCGGCCAACCACAGGCCTAATACGTTTACCATGAATTAAATTAGTTTGACATGAGAACCCTTGTTTCTTGCCGTGACTCTGCATTCCAGGGAAGCTACCGATCCTCCCCCCTTTCAACAGTGTAGCATCGACACCCTGCGACACACACAAGCCCAAAAAACTACTTGTAATATAACTCGCTAGATACACAGAGAGATAAGTCAAACTGTGGCTGGAGACACAGCTTCCTCCCCAACCACCTCCAATAACACGTCAGTGTGCAGCATTTTCATTTTCCTTTAAGTTTCTGGCCAAGTCATATCTTACCGTGTATATTTGTATTTTGAAATAGAACGTCAGCAAAGCATGCTTCGGCATTTTGGCGCTTATAGTCACAGCACAAATAAATTGGAAGATAAAAGTTCGAAAATTCGAAGCTCCAAGAGGCACAAAAACCTGCGGAAATCAGTAATGCGTTACATATCCTGTCCAGACTCCGTAATAAACTGGTTTTACTGGACTCGCAAGTATGCTGATGTGAAACCAGATTTCATTTTGAAAGTCTCACAGTTGTCTTATCTCGCTACATCATGCACTCGCTTGGCCAGTTACCAGCCACCGGTTAACCCGCATTCATCAATCACACAATCGTTCCCGAAAAACAGCGTGGACTGCAAAGAACATCAGGTCAGGTCAGGTTGGGGAGCATGCGCTGATGCAGCGCGTTGATACACCCAACACAGGGCAAAACTCTTCGGGATCGTGGACGGCTATCCCCCAGCCGGTCCAGTCCCACCCTCCGGAAATGGCCATCCATCTGCCGCATCCAGGTGTTACATGGACGTCCCCGCAGCCCGGCCCAGGCGCCTGGGAGCCGGATCACCCTCAGGGAAACGCGCCACATGGCCGTAGAGCTGTAACTGATGCTCCCTCACAATGCAGGTAATGTGCCTCATTCGGGACTCAATAAGTCAAACCAGCGGTACCCAAGGATTCTTCGAAGATACACAGTACCGAAGGAGTCCAGTTTTCGTCTCAGCTCACTGGACAGCGTCCAAGTCTCACAGCCATACAGCAAGACAGGGAGCACCAGGACTAAAAAACTTGGACCTTCGTCCTCTTGCAAAGATATCGAGAGCGCCACACACCCTTTTCCAGTGACCCCCCATGCTCTCCCAATCCGTTTGCTGTCACCAGAGACAAGAATGTCGTTGCCGAGGTAGGTAAATTTCTCGACAAGGCCACATTCTAACATCACCTTAAATTAAAGCAGGCGATGTGCAGGCAGTTTCCAGGTTGCGAACGAGACCCGTTCCCTAAGTCTGTCTTAAAGTCGAATGTGTAGGCAAGTCGGAAAAATAATTTAAAAAGTACATAATAATACACATCATAGTAATACAGTAACAATAGAAGTAACTACATCTGATACTGTACAGTAGCCCTACCTCAAGTCGAGGAATGTCGACGAACCGTTGAAGCAGTGCAATGTTTTCATGAGCATTACATAGTAGTGCGTGTGTTCGTTATTATGGACAACTGTATTTAACCCGAATTTTTAATAAGCCTATAATAGGCATTATGGCAGTACAAGTTGTCCGTAAGTCGGACGTTTTTAACCGGGGACTGCATAAACGTCTCTTGTAAATGCATACGGCGCCATCGTGTGGCGGTAATGTTTAAAGTCGAACAAACCATTCATTCACATCAACAGGTGCACCATCTGGTCGTAAAAACAGCCTTCTCTTTATTTTCCAAAACTTATTTGTCCAGAAAGACGTTTTCTTTGATTTCATTTCCCATCTGCTTCTAACTCGTTTTCCGGTCTAATTTTTGATAGTATCTTGTAATAAAAAGTAAACGAACCGAGTAATAGCTCCGTAACGAGTAACGGGACTCCTTTTCTACGCCAGAGTAGCCAGCCCACGGCGTTTTGTTTCACTAGATATACTGACTCTCTTAGGTTTTATTTGTATATCTTTAATTTCCTCATAATAATCTCCCTTTATCCTCAAACTAATATCTCTGGCTTGCTCTTTTGGGTTTACCCATACAGTAAGCTCACAGCTGCAGTATTTATGGTCACTCAGACGATAGTGGTGTAGACTCACGACTGCCCGCTTGTGGGTTCGATTCCCATTCTCGAGTTTGCGTGTTTTCCCAAGTCTGCGCAGTTTTCTCCCCAGTTAAGTGAATATGCGGGTATATGGTGACTTCCAGCGGCCCTGGACGCATTTTCGTAGATAGCGCCCCCCACACCACACCCCTAGGGAAGTGCGCATGTGTGAGCAAGGCTTTTTCTCCGCACCTTCAGCCCCGCGCAGAAGACACTTTACTGTGGAAGAGCAAAGACTTCCCACGACACCTGCCAGTTCCCCTGTCATCGATCGTATTTGCGGCTCTTCTGACATCGGCTTTAACGCCTTTTTTTCTGGCTTTATGGTGCTCATAGCAAGT